TTTTTTTCGTTATGAGGTCCCTAGAGGCAAAAAACACCATCCGTTCAAATTCATATATAACACCACACCGTCCGTTAGCGCGATAACTCGAGCAAAAATGTTCCGATTTTGATGAAATTTGGTACAAACGTGTAAACTTATGTGTGTTCGAATGAGTTCGCGAACCAGCATGATCGGACTATGGGAACAGGGGTTTATGGGGGGTTTTATGGTGTTTTCCCATTTTTGACCATAAAAACTTAAAATTTAGCAATTTCTTTTCAAACCATTTTGTAGAGCTTAAAAAACAAATTATTTAGTATATTAAAGCGTTATTATGCGCCTAATTGTTACGGAGAAAATTCCAAAAATCTGTTATTTTAAAATTCCCATGTTATTCTTATGGAGAATAAGTTAACTGTTGTAGTATGCTTGTTTATGAACATATTTTGATCAAATTTGGAAAATGCATTAATCTTCTTTATTCTAATTCCGTAAGGAATTTCTTGTGCACAGCAAAACTCTTTTATTTATTAACCGATTTTGATGATTGATGTGTCAAATTAAAGGGAATTATCTGCAGAAGTCATGGAATAATTTTTGTCACGCTCAGTTCAATGTGCTTCGCCCCACTGGACTTTAAAGTTTCCATGTATTTTTAAATATAAGTGAAAATTTAGTTAAGTTTATCAAACATATGATTCATTTACTTTTAAAAACACCTGTCCGCTTCATAAAAATAACCTCTTTCCCTTATGTCATTTTAATATTTACTTTTTCTGTTTATTTATCATTTTACTTTCAAATACAATGATGACTGATGAAATGGATAGATCACCCTTATGGCCAATGTTTAAAAAAATTTCACTTGCTAAAAACATGAGAGCTAATCCAATCGAATCAATATTATTGCTGAATGAATAGGGAATGGTCATGAGAGCTATCATAATGATCTTGGTGATTCATTGATACGTCTTCCACCACAATGTATTGTGAATGAAAATATCATTGACAAAATCTTCTGTGAAGGATTCTCTGAAGATGCTTGAAAAAAGACCAAAAATCATGCAATACTTTCAACAAAAAAATAAACATTGTGACAAAATAAATAATAAAATAGTTGAGCAACGAAATAATGACAGTCGAGTTTACTACTCAGTGGACACTTTGATTCAAGAAGAGCGACCAATTACATGCACCTGGTGAATTTCTTCACACTTTAGCACCAAGAGCTTAACCTCCTCACAAATCATGCCTTTAAAAATGTGTAATTGTAATTTTACTAAGGAATTTAAATCCACAAAAAGGACTGGTTAATGGAACCAGATTTCTGGTAAAGAGATGAATAACAAAGTCCTAAATCTTGAAATTATTACTGAAAGTTCGGCTATGGGAAGAGTTTCTCATTTAAAATTTTAAATGTAAGATGACAATTTTAACTGGTCTATCAGTCAGTATTCTGTAAGCCTACTCTGTTAGAACCTTTATTAAAACAGTATCGAGCTTAACATTTTTATTTATTGTAATTAAAAGTTTAGCTCTTAAAAGTTTTTGATTTTTTTCGTAGTGATAAGTTTAGAGTTAAAAGGTTATTTAAATTTGTTTAATATATTGAAATAAGTTAAGATTATTAACTGGAAACAACTAGTTTCATACTAAACTATTAACATAAAAAAACACATTGTTACCTTCCCTGTTGCAGCAAACCTAAGTAGGCATACTCGTTAAACTAATGTTATTTAAATCCTATACTCTAATACGAGCAATGTTTGCTTGCTTGCTTGCTTGCTTGCACAAAGATCTCGAAAACGGCTCCGACGATTTTCTTCAAATGTTGTAAATAGTTCATTTCTGGCCTAAAAACGAGTTTCATGCCGTTAGAACTGCCAACAAAAATCTAATTACGTAGAAAAATGAAACTGAAAATCACATTTTTTTTAACATTAGTCTTATGGGTTGCTAGGTATCCATGTTGGCTGAATTAAATAACAAGGAAAAAGTAAACAAAAGACTTGAAGTTGTAGCATGTGTTCATAATAAGCCAACTACCCACAGTATACTAGCAAATTACAAATACAGTACAAAAGGAAAAACATCACTTGTTAATATTGAGCAAAGATTATACTTAAGATTACTCGATACATTGTAGTCAAGGGTAGCAGTGCGAAGTCTAGTATCTGTTTATGACGAATACATTAAGGTATCTGCAATCCTAAAATGCTATGGGAAGGGAAGGAAACAGGTCCGTGACATAGGAAGTAGTGAAGGAAGTAGTAAAGGCAATCATAAAATGCTATAGGGAATAAATGTGAAATTTTTAAGGATACATTTTAGTGTAAAACCAATCAGGCAAATGGAAAATCGATTAGTCTGCAGGTTTGCTGCGGCGGGGGTGTTAAAAATATGTATCAAACGTTTCCTTACCCAGAGAGGTTTAGTCGAGGGGAATAGAGTCTGTAAATATAATTTTTAGTCATTTGTAATATGGTAGTTTGTTTGTAAAATCTTTGTAAGCATTCAGTTTGTCGTATTTTTCGTTTTTTCGTATATTTTATGAGTTTTTTGTTTTGTTATCAATTGTAAATATATCTTTTCTGCAATTTAATTTCATATATCATTGTATTTGATCTGGTTTTTGATCAATGTTTATGTCAATTTTTGTGAAATATGTTTTTAAATGTACTTAGTTATTATTAAATCGTAAATATTTATCTTTTAGCTGTGTGCCCGATCTACTCACGGGGATCTTATGGTAGTCAGTTGAAACCTTCCTATATAAAGAACAGCAGTTGGTTTGCATATTTTCAAATATGCTGGCCAAACTATTATATATAAACAAATACAGTATCCGACAGTTTCAAGTACAAAAAAAATGCGTAATAGAACTATAAGGGGTACACTTCCATATCTGTTGGCACAAACAACCAAATGAGTAATATTGATTATTCGATTGTTTAATTCGATATATCGTTTGGTTAGTTAGGTTAGGTTAACCTTACCTAACTAACCAAACGATACCATACCTATACTAAAAACCTACCTATACTAAAAACGATAGTATTTTAGTTAAAATAGTATACCTCAACCTCGCTATTAAACATTCAGGTTGGAAATTTCACTAAAACAAAGGTGTTCTTGTCCTGTCCGTAACTTACGGAATATAATATGCGCTACCAACTTATGAATAATTGTTTAGGCCTACGATCCCAAGAGATAGGCAATTGGTCTATTGGCTGTATGGTCCAGCGAGCAGCACATAGCGTTGAGAAGACACATTGGAAAAGCGATTTGAGCATAATCCGTAAACCTCTGTTACAATCACCCACTGCAGTTGTCACTTTACACTTTACACAACCACCATTGAAGTGCCGTCAATGAGTTTAAACCTTTTATGTAAGCTATTGGTAATGCTTATGTAAAAAATGTAAGTTTTCCAGCCATATAAAACACTGATTCAAGGCCTTTTTCCCGGTTATCAAAACTCAAGAAAACTTTTATACACAAAGAATCTCTATTTTCATTTACGGTTACCCCACAAATTATTGAACTTGCGATTAATTAAATCCGTTGTGTAAGGAAAAACTGTTTTAATCCAACTTGGTTTGGATTTGCTTTTGAAACGTGATCGGAAATGATTGCGGTATTTGTAAATAACATTAAATGTAAACATATCAGTGACATCTAGAGAAAAATAATCTTGATCCGAACAGCTGTTCGCTATTTCATAGATGATTATGTGATAAAAATTGGGAGATAACTTGACAAAAATCGCACAAAATTGGGTTTTTAAACGTCCGTAAGTTTATTTGAAAAGTAGTGAGGCCATATTTTAATAGCTAAAGACACTCTCGCCAATCCAGTGAATACATTAAAATGATTCGGATCTTGATTGGTACTCTCGTTATTCAGGAGAAGGCCGCGTAAATGGCTCTTGGGCCGTGACAGACGGAAGACAGGCAGACAGAAATTGAGATGAGACTTGTTTCGGCTTCTTTAATGTATAAAACGTAAAAATAACCTAAACATTTTTGATTCTGAGCAATGTACATACAAAACTCTAGTTTTATTTATATAGATTGTTTTAAACACATGTCTTTGTATACGGTATTTTTTCAGTTCTTTTCTTAACGCATTTGTATTTCATAATAAATATTTTCAGCATGAAATAATAGAAAATTATTCACAACACTGTGTATTAGTATCCTTAGGAATTAAAACCCAATGAATTCTATAACATGCCATATTACTGATACTCATTCGCTGAATCACCTTTTAAACACTTGAAAGTATATAAACATTAATGCTGTACTTTTTAATGTTACTGGTAACACTATCTAAATCTATCAAACACTCTCCAAACATGTGTTTTTAGAGACAACGAAGCACCTCAGGCCCCTTCCTCCTACTGATGAATGGAGTTAGTATAGTTTATTATTTGCATAATAACTGTATAGCTATACAGACACTAGCCGTAATCCTGTTAGACAAATTACAAAGGGGCTGCCGACGGGACCAGTGGAAGTGCGGATTAAGAGACCTTACTTGAGACTGGGACCAGTAGAAGTAGGGTACCTGGCTTACGGGACCAGTTGAGTCTGCCCCAAAATTTTTAATTCCGATAACCTATTTTTGGGTTGATAAATGGTAGGAATTTGACGGCTATTTTGGTTTGAAAAGATTTACAAAAGTCGATTTTAGAATATTTTGATTACCGTACTGCCATCTTAATACTTATAAACTGCAAATATAGCATACAAGTTCTTAAAATAATTGAGAATTGTTTTTTTACTCAATCCTCACAGCTACTGCCAACTACCTACTGATGTGGACATTTCCAATTTCCTAACTATTTTTTTCAATTAGAATTTTTGTTTCAGCTTTTGGTTAAATTGGGTTTGGTTTATCGTGGTGCTATTAAAAGGGGGCTTTACTGTCAATAAATAATGACAAAACGCTAGTGTAGACAAAATATTTTAATAGTAAAATCTGATTCCGCACTTGTAATCTCAATTTTTGTCCAGACGAGCCCCAATACTTGGCGGAGGACGAGTGGGACGCTCACGCCCGAAGACTGGAAGCCATCGACGAACTTCTGCCCCTCAAGTACCGCTACCCTCACTACTACCGCCCCAGCTCTGCCCGCTCGGCCAGTGTGCCACCCCCACCGAGGTCTGCCTCCGTGCCCCCCACCACTCTCCGAGCTCTGTCCAGGGCCCGCTCCACCACCCCAGCGCCACCGCATCTCCGAGACATCGTGGAAGAGAAGCCCTCCTCGCTCTACAGCTACTCGGGTAATGTCGACATCGGTGACTTCAAGTTTCCGTACCATTCCACCGCCTTCTACTCCTACGCTGGCCATGTCCTCTCCTCTTACTTGACTAATTATCTTGTCTATAAACACATCCACTACTACACCAATCCCGGCTCCACTTTGTGGGACATGCGTCACTCAGTGGCGTCCGCAGTGGTGCACCATTAATTTTCTTGCAGTCTTTGGCTCGCTTTGAATCTTAAGTTGCTTGGATGAATACTTTTAATGGAAGTTTTGACCATCTAGTTTTCTAGCAGTTATATTATTTAGAGACAACATTTGATTGTTTATTCTCATTTAATTATTTCACCAAGTACGTGGAAAAAATTCCCTAATATTGTTATTTTATTTTGTGTGTGTTTCTACGCCAATGGCAATTTTTTGGGTTTTGAAAGGGACCGGTCAAACCCCTGGTCTTGTTACTTGTTATTTTTTTATACTTGCTAGATAATGACATTGATCCGTGAAAAATGATTTGTTTTCAATGTTATTCCTTGACAAACTGTAAAAGATTATAAAGAGGAAGGACAATTTTAGTTTTCCGGTGTTAAAAACTACAAGTTAGGTAAACACTATAAAACCAACCACCCCTTATCCTTCTGTATATAATCCTACTTCAAAATTCTACATTCACTGCAACTTTATCTAAAACTTTATCAAAAGTGGAAACCAACTAACTCTACTTCCTTAGTGCTTTGGTGCTTCCACCTTTCTAACTGAACATAGTGATATTTTAATCTAAGACCTATTTAGTTGAGTTTTCTTTCCAAATGGTATTGCCGTTTACACTTTAAAGCGGTTAAGAGTAAAGTGATGTTTTGAATGGATGTTTACAAACTGTCACGAACTGTTGTCTATGGATTACGTCGACATTTAAGGCCAAAAACTGAACGAGTCTTCCTTCGACTCCTCGTTCTCAAAAGCCGTGACTTCTTATTCCAAGTCTTCCAGTAGCAGCAGCTCCAACACGATCACTAAGAGGACCACATCCTACATCCCGATCAGGTCTACGAGGATTAACTCTGAAATTATCCATGCTTACCTGGGCCGCAATGACGTCTATAACTGGCCAGGTTGGTTGCTAAGTGTTTGGTTGGTTTGGCTGCTCCTGGAGTTGTGAACGAAATCTTAGTCACAGTTTGGAGTTCCCACAGTTTTCTCAATGGCGAAATCTTCTTCTTGTTTTTCACTCGCTGTCAACATGTTGAGTGTTGTGTGTATCCATTTTCACTAAAACCATACATCATGAACTCTTCACTCTATAGAAACTTAAATTTAACAACTCCAATAATTAGAAAAATTTCACATTCCTGCACAGTTTGACTCGGGTTAGTAATGATTTTAAAAGCTTGATTTGTTTACTTTAGCAGTAGAATTAAATTTTTAAGTTTCCAAAATCCAAAAACACTAGATTTATGTTCCTTTTCATACACTAACAACATTATGAAGTTCTAAGATTAGGTGTATGGTAGGAAATAAGTCCAAAATTTCACTTTTGACCTTCAAAACTATACGTAAAACATGATATAATTTCAAAATCATATAATAAACGAACACTTCCATTAATCTGGTTTTCAAACACATAATCTGAGAATGTACCCATTTACAAAAGTTTTACCAATTAAATACTGTGAATGTGATAAGTTAACTTTAGTAAATGTGTGATTTTATGTGAACATTTCATTTCATGTCAATTCATTTGTAAACTCTTTCTGCACCCCACAAACAAAAACACTCATTTTACATTGCACCAGGAATGTTTGAGCCCTTAGATTTTTAGTGTCTGTGTCTTAGTTCAAGAACTAGGACGTCTTGAATGTAGTAGGATGAGCGGTACAACTTGGAACATTTTCAGTTTTTGTTTAATTTTTGTCATTCAACACAAACCAGTTTTAGTAGTCACATCATTGTACTGCAGTCAATTGTTTTTCTCTGTAACATATTATCTCAACAATCGTCTTGAGAGATATTTCTGTTCTAATATTCGTGAAACATCCCATCATATGGAACAGCTGTAGCCAATTTTCTATCCATTTAGAACATAAATGAGTCATAAAAAGAGTGTGCTAACTGTATAAATTAAATTTTTCTTTCTTCGTTTTTAAGACAATGATCCTAGATGTGACTTTAAAAGTCGCTATCGTTAATATAAATATGTAAAGCATGGACACAGCCATAGGTTGTTCACTTCCTTCAATAGTCAAACCAGTTTGTATAACAAAATCCTTAAATTGTAATATTTGGATTCTCAACTAGTTACCGTACTAGTGGTTTCGTGTTATGGTATCACAGTAAAACAATTGCCAATACTGAATCAGTTCCAAGTTACACATTACTCCGTTACTTACCTACTTTGTGATTTCCCCAAATTCATCACCAAGACGATGAATTTCCAGGCGAGCCCCTGTACCACCGGCCCTACTACGGAAGCTACGTGAGACGTCCTCTCGCTGAGCTGCTGGAGCCCAGCTACCACCTACCCAGGTCCAGAATCACCAGGGACCCTTGGTGGTACGACTACCCCTCCCTCAAACCCTACTCACCGTACAACCGCTACCCCTACACGTCCCTGCGCTACCCCTACTCCCACGTCAGCTCTCCCTACGTCAGCAGATGGTACTACTCCCCCTACTACCTGAGGGACAGCTACCTCTCCCCCATCAAGCGCACCTACCTGTGGAACTACCACCCCATCAGGCCTTTCTGTAAGTAAGGTAAGACTCGAGTTGAAGCTACGCTTGCGCTTCAGCTTGAGTTTTGCTTTTAGTTTTAAATTTGTTGAAGGTAGTGAAACTAAACCGAAACTAAAAAAGTGGCTTAAGTTAGAGCCATTCTAAACTAGCACTATGAGTGCTGCAAATCTTTCACAAGAAAAATTGTTTAACCGCTGCTCCCATTAATTTGTTCTATATCTTTGGTCATGCATAATAGTGTTTGTATGGAAGGCCAAGTGTGTTTTAGACCAGCTTGCAATCTAAAAATTACAAGTACAAGAGGAAACCCTACAGAGAAACCCCCAAAAGCTTCGCTCACAACCGGGGGTTCCTCTGATTCAGAATAACTCGCTAAATAAGAATTACTTAAAACGAGTTCCATGACTTGTCTTAAGCGATATCATTATTTTTTAACAAAATGCAAATATTTATTGTCAAAGACCATTTTTTATTAAGGAACAAATCTATGTAAAATTTGCTAAGTTATGATTAAATGTTACCTCTTCTCTTTATCCAAGATAAAAACATTGTAAAATCTTTATATTTTTAATTCAATACATTAAATTGTTTGCATCATTTCTCTACCTCATGTACATTTATTACTTTGTTGTAACCAAAAGAAAATCATTTAACTTGACTATGAAATATAGTACAGGTGTATATACTGCTGCCTAAACTGCCTAACTTATACTCTTATACTGACAAAATGTTTTAAGACTGAAGAAAAATTACTGTGCTAGAACTTAATAGGCCTACAACAAGAAGCAAAGCAAAATAATATCCGAATAATCACTACTTACCATAACTGTACCAATACAAATCGTCTGAGTAAAAGTTGAGTAGAGCTATGTAAGTTATTATCAAGCTAATGCTGAAAGATGCTCTTAGAATTTTACATGTAAATATGTAGCCTACATTGTAGAGTGATCTTGAAGCCAGCTTGCATGAGTACTACACAATGCACCTGCATTACTAAACTCAACTAAAACTCAAATTTTGAAATTATTTCACCACTGTGTCTGTTCCAGCCTACAGTTACTACTGGATCTAAGGACCTTCCCCTAACGAAGATTCCATCGGATTCGACCAAACGAAGGCTGCACGATTTCATGGGATTTCTCTTTGGTTTCCGTGATCAGATTCATCTGGGACACCTCTAGAGAGCCCCGCCCGCTCAGATGTGATGTGACGGCGCCGGCGGAGGCCAAAGAATCAATTCATGAAATCAAAAAGCTAATAAGGGATTAATTTTGGATAACGGAAGTTAGGAATAAAGGAAAAGAAATAAATTTAAAACTGCCATCACGTCTGTGAAATACTTTTTATATAAGAGCGCTTAAATTACCTTTGATAAAGTACTTTTTACTTCTCCCGATCTCGGATATTTAAACTTTCAAGTATAGCTTCTCCCGTAGGATTGTATTCGCTGTTGATAGTGTGTTTCATTTTCATTCATAATACTACCTCGCTTTACGGATATAATTATTGCATAACACTACGCTTTACTGACAAATCTACATCGAAATTGTACTAACGTGCGACATAATCATCCCTTGCGTATTCAAGTGTGGCTTAGACGAAAAACAGAGCATATGTTATATTTTTTGAGAATTTTGCTTCGATATATTTTTTGAGATTTCCCTTTTTCAAGAGCGTTTCGTTTACAATGCATTTTGATATTTTATACACGAATTTGCGTTTTGTACAAAACGTACCGACTGAACATCTTTTGCGGGCAAATACATGTTGCGATGTACATTGTTGAATGTTCGATTTTGTTGTTTCATGAAATATATTTATTTTTGAGATATATTTGTGTGTATTATTTACCCGAACCCAACTCTGTTATGCTGGTATGTGTTTCGAAAAAGATCATAATTTTTACTGGTTAATATTATCGATTTCCCAAAGTTTCCTATCAATATTATGTCTACCATATTAAGTTAGTTTCCAAATGGTTTATCAACATTGCATTTGAATTGTAGGTTAATACACGGTTATCGTAACGTCATACGATAGAAGACGGCAATGACGTAATGTTTGTCGTTGTGATCAGCTGCTTGTTTTAATCTTTCCTTGGAAAATAAAGAAATAAATACCTACGTCATTGCCATCTTCTATCGTGACGTCATACTTGACGAGCATTACGGCCTGTTTTTTTTTTTTTTTTATGTGGCCTTTGCTGTATGGGCTATTAATTAACAGCTGGGTCTAAGGGATAAGTCGGCCTTAGTCAATAACAAGACTACAAGATCGCGCCACTCATCCTATATCGCCATTCATACTTGGCTTAAAATACCTACTTTGTATGGTCACGATTTCATTGAAAAGTATTAAAAGTACACTAGGGTTCAAACTTACGCCCAGATATTCCAATCTTAATTGGTAATACGGTAGTGAAGGCTACAAGTTTTAAACACGTCATAAACAATTTTATAAATCCGTTCAGAGGTTTTTTTATTTGATGATAACCGGGACCTTTTATTTTCAACATTAAAAGCTAAGTTACAACAAAATTTGTTTAGCAAAACTTTGATACCCGACTCAATTGGAGTAATAGATATAGAAAGTTTGTTTTTTTGTTAGGTAGAGTAATTCTATGACTATCGACGGAATCGATACAGGTAGAGTAATTCTATGACTATCGACAGAATCGATACAGGGGTATGACTATCGACGGAATCGATACAGGTAGAGTAATTCTATGACTATCGACAGAATCGATACAGGGGTATGACTATCGACGGAATCGATACAGGTAGAGCAATTCTATCACTATCGACGGAATCGATACTCTATTTTCCCCTAGAATTGAGTTTTATATCAAAGATTCACAATTTGTTTGAATAAGTAAAGTGATAAAAATAAATAACGCTCCTTAGCAGTATCGTCAGGATAGTGCAAAGCATATTCTCACATATTAAATGTGTGTCATAATGTAACAAGATAAATCATGTAGGCCTTGGAAGCCTTATATAAATAAAATATAGTTACCTACTAAATAAAAATGTAGCTAAGTTACCTTATTGCGTTATTCTAGAATTATTGTTTTATATCATGTATATATTCTTCTGTATACCAACTGATTAGTTTATTGCAATTGTACTGAGAATGTTATCAAACTTACAATGTAACTAAATAAATAAGTTTAGAATTAAAGATTATTTCAGTTTATGTTGGTACGGTGAGGTTAAAAATTAAACCATTTTGTATCAGTCCATCAGCTATATAGATCGTGTATATTATAATGGCGTGTGGATGGAACGATGGAAAGGCTCCTAACACTGAGAGTCGCACCGATAGACGCTAGTGTACATTCATTTATATGTATTACATAAACTTATTAGTTTATTATTATTAATTATTATTAATTACCTATTGGTAATTAATTGTCGAGTTGGCTGTACAAAGTGACAAAAGCGACGTTGGTGTAAAAAGGGTCATCTCCACATCTGCATCCCACTTGTCTCTCTAATTGACAAGATATATACTGTGCTAGTTTTGGTCCACCCTGGGGGTCCATTCCCAGTACCCGCCATGTCTGACGAGCCTTCCCCTATCCGCCACCTGGGGAGGCGCCCGATAGGAGACTAGCAACTCCACACGGGAAAAATATGGTTTAGTGGCGGGCGGAATCATTTCTACAATATAACATAACTTTTCTCCTTCCGGTACCTCAGAATAATTTATATTTTAGACTAAAAACGCACCTAAAGTGTATAATAGTTCTGCTTTTCTTCCTAATTGTCTAGGGCTAATCCCGAAGATATGATGACTACGGAAATATACATTTTATTTTTTTAGATAGACTAAGAGTTATATGTAACTATTTACTTGTATAAGAAACTTTCCAAATCAATTATCGTAAAGAAATGTTATCCTAAGTGATAGATTGACCCCTAACCTCCCGATTGAGTAGGTACTTTAGTTGATTCCGCCCACCTCTACTACTTAACCTAACTTTACTAACCTATACTGCATATGAAGGTGTAGCCATGGAGATTAGTTTTAACTACTAACTAAAGGGCTAACTTCAAAAAGAGAGTGTCCAATCAAAATAATGTTTCCTCTGATAATTCATTACTTCGTAATACAACTCAAACGAATGCAGAAAGTTTAATCTCTATAGGCTCACCTGTCAATATAAAGTTGACTACAATTAATTTAAATTGAAGGCCCAGTTTTACAAAGGTTATATGTACCTTAGTTCGTTAGTAAATTGTGTTATAAAGATAACAAACTAAAAGTAAACAAAAAAATACTACAGAGCCTTTCAAAGATTTTATGTATATAAATTAATTATAATAACATTAATAGAAATAACAGTTATTGCTAAGGCCAATATACCAGCCTATACAAATAAACATAACTATAGGCCTATTAACTAAAACAAAAAAGCTTGTAATAGTTTAAACTAAACCAACCTTTCTTAGTAACGATGCAGAAGTCACAGTAGGTTTCATAATCAACTAAGCATTGCAACTATAAACTTGATTCACAATCACGGTTCCAAAATCAAAAAAGTATAACATTACTATATCTGCACAGCATGTATTAACTTAAGTTTTATTTCAAGTAATTTTTAAACCAATAACGTAAATATTTTAGAAATTTCATTCAGTAAATCTAATTCATAGAATTTATGTTGGCAGATATATTTCCTTGTACCCAGGCAAAATTAAAACAAATAAATCTATGATAATCAAAACGGATTGCTTCCTACCTTTGGTTGGCTTCAGCTGAAAATTTACCGATATGATGTGAACAAAGGAATTTATATGAATGTTGCATTGGGTTTTCTCAATTAGTTATTTACGAAACTGAGATCTTTACATCTATGTTACTTAAAACTCCCAGCTATGTATCATAGTAGAGGCCTACACTTAATATGTACAAGCATTTTTTTTTCAAAACCAATATACCAATGCACCCGTGCATAGTATCCTTTAATACGTATGCCCCTAAAAATCCATGAATTAGCCAAACCAATATGAAAAATATTTTTTTGTTTCATTTTATTCCCATAAATGGTAAATTAATACCAAATCCATTCCCAAATTTAAAAAAGTTAATAGCTAATCTGAGTCTGCATCCTATTTTTTCCCAAAGTAATCGTTATAGATACATTTTACACAGTTGTACATTTTTACTGTGTTGAATTAACAACAGACTATTAGTTCCAAATTTGTCACTCTGGTAGTTTTTTATTCCACCTTTAATAAATCGGTGAAATATAAGGATCAATAAACTTCAATTGATGGTCTATCATAAAACAATTCCTATTTAGCTTGATGGTTGTTGTTCACATCATATTGGGCTATTATAGCAAGACGCAGGGTACAAACAATGATATTGTTGCGGACTTAACGGGTTCTTTACAAATAAAACTTGGCGATTCTATAATAACTATTTATTTACACTAATTATTCTATATTTACAGATATTACAATTACCTAACACCTAACTAACCCTATCTAACCTAGCTAAAGCCTATTCTAATTTACAATGATTCTACTTACAGCTAACCTTTTACAGGATTTATCACTACTTCTGTTACAGCACTGTCACTACACTGTCACTAGTGTCACTACACTGTATCTACACTGTTACTGCCACTAGCACTAGCACTGGTCACTAACACCGACGGGCGCTTGCCGTGACGATTCTCGGAAGGCTCAACTCAACTCAACTGCCGTGTGCCGGAAGACGGTCCCTTATATAAATTTACCGTGGAACGTTCTGGAGACCCCTGGTAGCCTAGACAAAGGTGTTTACGCCGTAGAAGTGTAGAAGGTTCTAGGGCCCCTATTGAGGTAGTACGTTGACATGAGTCTATTGTCTATCAGTGGTGCGCTAGGAGAAACCCATGTAAACAAACAACCCTTTTGAGACAGCGCCTGGCTATTGTTGCGCGGGGCTCCTGACTTGTAACACTACCCCCTCCTTAAGACTGTTCTGTCCCAGAACAGATTTCCCCTGAAGCTTGCGATCTTCTGGTCCACCGGAGGTTCCCCATGGGTTGTATACGCAGACCACAATGTCGATGCCAGTGTCCTCGAAAAGTTCCTGCACCATATTTCTTACAATCTTCCATTCCAATCCGTCATAACCACATCCCAGCCTTGGAATAGCCAGCTTTTTGATTCCAATCCGAAGGAGCTTGTCTCGCAGGTCTTGCAGGCTTTTCTTCAAAGATTCGTAGGACGGCTTCTTGCTAGATGTTTCCTTTGTAACGAGGTAGAACAAATGCTGTCCATTGCGCTTCAGGTGAAGGGTTGTGCCAATGGCGGGGCTCTGACGCTCAAGATCTTCGATCCCTCCAAACTTTTTCCTGAAGACTGTGGCTATACCTCGCGACGCTCTCAGGTCTTCTGCTACGCAGTGTGCCAAGGCATATTCCACTGGCAAGGTGAAGAGGTCCTTGTATAACAACCTCAGTCCCTCATTTCCATGTCTCTCAGGCACGACGTTTCTTGGCTCGGTTGAGAGGTTCCGAACTTGTTGGCCGTGATCTCCTTTGTAGGGTGCAAGCCTGTTAAAATGAACTATTTTTGGTTTGCCATTTGGTTGTTTCTTAATCCTGTAGATGACGTCATTTAAACGGGAAATAACTTCATAGGGTCCTTCCCATGAGTTCTGGAGTTTAGGTGAATAACCACGACGCCTTCGGGGATTATGTAGCCACACGAGATCACCAGGTGTGAACCCTCCTTTCTCGGCCTTCACGTCGTACCTATCCTTCATCCTGTCACTTGCTCCAGATATGTTGCGACGAACTTTCTCATGTATATCGTCCATCCTCTTCCGCAG